GAGAGAGAGAGGGAGAAGAAAAGAAAAAAGAAAGAAAGAACGACGAACACGGTCGGTTCGGTAAAGATAGGTGTAGGAAAGGGGAGAGAAAGAGCGAGGAAGAAAGAGAGAAGGACGACTCGCCGCGAGTGAGAGAGAGAAGGAAGGGGGAGGGGGAGGGAGGGGAGGAGGAGGAGGAAGGGAAAAAAAAAGAAAAAAAGAAGGAAACGAAACGAAACGAAACGAAAAAAGGAGGAAGAGAAGGAGGAGGAGGAGGAGGAGGAGGAGGAGGAGAAGGAGGATGCGTTGTATCAAAGTGGATGGGAGAGGGAAGGGGAGAGCGAGGAGAAGTAGTAGGCAGGAAGAAAGGAAAGGAGGCGAGTAAAGACCCGAAAAGTTTGGGGTCATTGCCGTCTGGTCTCGTTTTAGCCTTTCCTTCCTCCTCTTCCTCCTCCTCCTCCTCCCAACTTCTCCTCCTTCTTTCCTTCCTCTTCGTATTCTTTTTCTCTCCGTTTTAACCACTCTTTCCGAGCAAGGTTGACCGCCATGTTTTTCCCTCAGCGCGTGCCCCTACCGCCTCGTGTGCGTATATAACCGACCTTCGCGTGTGCGAGAGAGAAAAGAGAGAGAAATATAAAGAAATACGAGAGAGATATATATATATATATATATATATACGAACGTACGAATATGTATATATATATATATATATATATAAAAAAAAAAGAGAAAAGAAAAGAAAAGAGAAAAAAGAAAGGAAAAAAAAGAAAAGAAAAAAGAAATAAGACCGCGAAGAAACAATCATTTACCTTTACCCGCGAGGTCGCCAATGACGGAGAGACAGATACTTGCAATGAGGACGTCGAATTTCGTTCATCATTCTCTTCATATTATCTGTTTTAAAGGATGGCCTTTGTCAGCTTTTGTCAGATCCAATAATAATAATAATAATAATAATAATAATCCTCCATCGCCGCGTATCGTCGATATCCGTATCCACGATGGGAACAAAATAAAAAAAGAAAATCGCGATTCTCGCGTCGTCTCGTGAATCGCCGACGATTGAACCCGATAACGGCGACAAAGGTCATCGTGTGCAATTGTGTCGTAGTAACTAGTAGTCGTTCGATCTGTGCTTTGCATTCCCGTTCATTCTGTGAGGTCGTGGCGAGATCGATCGGAGAAGATCCATAAGAGATCGAATTCCTCTAATTCTTTCTCTATTTTTAAATATACCACCATCGATTTCCGATTCTTATATTCTCCGATCGTTCTCCGGACCTCACGCTTTTCTTATATATATATATATGTATATACGTATATATGTATATATATATATATATATATAATGTAATATGTACATATATATATACATATATATATATATATAAATATGTACACGTACATTCGTCTGTCTGGGCTTTGCTTTCTCCTCCTCCTCCTCCTCCTCCTCCTCCTGTCTTTCTCCCTTTCGCAAACGAGAAAGAATCGACCACAACATATCCATGCGAGACTTCTTTTTTTTTTTTGTTTTTTTTCCCCCCACTCTTTTCCATCCATCGCATACACTACTCGCATACACGCCCATCGACGTACGATCCGACGTGGCGTCACGGCTTAAACGGCGATAACCATAAATCCTTGCAATTCCACCCTAAAAACTTTTCTCCTCCGTCCCGCCAGACACTCGAGGTGAATTCCCTTTTGCAAGAGAGAGACAAAAAAAAAGAAAAAGAGAAAAGAAACAGAGGGGAAAAAGAAAAAGAAAAAGAGAAGAAAAAAAAGTAGTCCGTGGTGGCGGCGGTGCAATCGGTACTCTAACTCTCACTGGTCAATCGTTCTGTTCTGTGCGCTGCCTGTCCTGCGCTTCTGGTTCGCGACTCTGTGGTGGTATTCTGTGGGTCGGCTGCTCTCTACCGGTGTGCCTGCTTCCGGTTCCTCTTGTTCCGGCCCCCCAAAAAAGGAGTTGCAACAGCGTGTTGTGTTCCAGCAACACGCCGCCCTGATCGGCGGCCCCAACGCGACCAGCTGTCCCGTCTGCCACAAACTCTTCCTCGGTGGCGAAGCTCTCATGGAGCACATGAAGCACACCCACAAGGACCCGAATGCCTCCGGCGTTGCCAGTAAGTATCTACGATAGAAGTCGAGAGAGGCGCCCTCGATTTCGTCCGTCTCACTCTTTCTTTCTCCTTGCTTTTCTTTTTTTTTCTTTTTCCTACTTATTATTATACGTCGATAATAATAGATATATATATATATATACACACACACGTACACGTGCGTATCGTACACGTGCATCGAATCGGGGAAACACCTTCTCTTCTCCATATATATATATATGTGTATATATATGTGTGTGTGTGTTTTATTCACTAACTCATCATTAACGCTACGTATATTTACAACATTTATATCATTACTTCTCCTCTGTCTGTCTGTACGTAACTTTTGATAACTTTGACTCTAACGCACGCGACTCAAACGCGATTTTTTATTATCCCTTCCCTTCCACCCAATTGTTATCCCTTCTTTGCGCTTTCGTCTATCTTTGGACGAGGAAACGAGAGGAAACGGCCACGATTGGGAGAAGGAAAGGAATCGGTGCGGTCGAGAGAGGATCGTTCGAGACAGGACAAGATGATAAAATCGAGAAGATAAAGAAGAGAGAGAGAGAGAGAGAAATCTCGTATAATACGCACAAATATTATAAAATACGTGCGATCGTATTTTAAAACGCGCGTTTCATCCGTCTACGAGATCCGTCTACGACTCGTACTTTCTCCTGCTCTCCAAAGTCGTGGTCGTCTCCTACTTTTGCCGGTGATTCCGTCCATCCATCCATCCATCCATCCATTCGTCCGTCCGTCCGTCCGTTCCTTCGTCTTTCTAACCCACAACCCAGTTAACGAGGGTTTTTCGCGGAAGGAGAAATCGTTTCTTCGAGAAGGAGAAAGAAAGAACGGGGAGATAGGCGTAACGAGGGTGCCCCTTAATTGCGAGTAAGTGTAAAAAAAAAAAAAAAGAAAAAGAAAAAGAAAAAAGAAAGAAAAGAGAGAGAAAGCGAGAAAGATGGTACGATCGCTCCTCGTCGAGGGGTTGTTCGTCCTTATTAGTATTTAAGTACTACTACTACCACTACCACTATTATTACTACTACTATTACTACTACTACTACTACTACTATTACTACCACTACTACCACTACTACTACTACTACTACTACTACTACTACTACTAGTACGTTTCACATCCCCCCACCTAAGAAACTTGCTTTGGCGCGGGCGATATGCACACATTGTCCTGTCACTTCTTCGTATTGTTTCGCTGAACGGAAAAAGGGGGTGTAGCACTTAGCGCACTCACCCCGACTAATACCACTTGCGTATATATATATATATATATATATAGTATATATATATATATATATATATATATATACTACTACTATAT